AACATCTGACATATTTTGATCTCAAGAACTACTTATGCAATATATCCATACACATTTTGTTTAAATACATGTTAAAAAATCGAGTACAGGCCCTTTAATGCATTCTAATATAACTAATGTATAGATAATGTATTATATATATATATATATATATATATATATTAATTGAATTGCATGCATGTTAGCAGCGAGTACAGGTCTTGGCAACTTCTCTCCTCTTTCCTCACTCAGCAGGACCACTTTAAATGAACAAAAGGATTAACTTGATTACATTTTTCCAATTATGAGCAGAAAATCCCATTGTTGAAGCCCCAGATCAATCATGGACCTGGTCGGCAAATTTGAACGTGATGTTTTTAATTTCACAACCTCTTTAATCACGTCCTAATGCAAATTAAAACATGGAAGCTCCGCGGAGTCACTTAATGCACGGCCCGTTTGAAGAATAAGTAGGTCAGGTTTCCGGTGCGGTGGACACACTGAGGAGAGAATGGGTGATTAGTTCCAGGTAGGACTACATGAACGATGAAGAGTGAATTTGAATTAACAAAATGGTCTCAAGAGTGGAGGTTTTTACATTTTAACACGGCAAAGTTTCTTGAGACAACGGCCTCCATTTTGTGTTTAGGTATGGGGCAGCAAAAAAGTTATCAAAGACTATGTTCACACTCCAGGGCTTAATCCTCAAGTCGGATTTTTTTGTGAAGTCCAACATTTTTGCGAGGTTGTTCACATTTCCAATTGAATGCTCTTTGTTTGCGATCTCCAGTGTGGACTTTAAACGCCCCAAAAGTGTCCCGCATGAGCATTGGAGGAAGTCACCTAAACATGGACACGAACATTGAGCACCTGGAGAGTCTAAAGTTGGTGTCGTACCGGAGCCAAAACATGTACATCTTATTTGTTTTAAGGAGGAGATTGAGACGCCGAAGGTTCATGTTTTTGGCCGTGGTGTTTTGTGGGGCAGTGGCAGCAATGTCTGAAAAAAAGACCGTGTAGGTGCAGAGTCGCAGGAAGAGTGGTGGGACTGGTATGTGCTTCGCCGCTTTATACACAATTGTTGTATGACGAGAAGATCGTTTGTGTGTGTTTTAGGGATGGGCATGATTAGTCGATTAATCAATAATTGATCATTAAGAATTTCATCGATTACGTTCATTTTAATTGACAAACCGAATGTAGGTTGCTGTGCGTAGAGTGACCAAACGTCAGTGTCCGGGGACAAACAGGGGTCTGTACTTGTGTCTCTGCACTCAGAAGGAGCGAGACACAAACAGTGGGTCAGTCTGCAACGTGCCGAAGCGCAAATGTGTATTTAACGATGACTTGTACAAGAAATTCCACGCTTTCCGTTCTGGTCGGGACAAGTGTGAGTCCATGTGCACAGTGTACAAAGCAGCACATATGTCTCGGTGTCCAGTGGGAAAAAGCTTTGCCAGGTGAGAGTCGAGCAATGTCGATGACGAGTCCCCACCTCCCGTACGGTGTCCTGGTTTTGACAAACACAAATATGGTCGCACTAACCTGTATTCCACTGAGTCGTGTCACATCAGCGACACAAGAGCAGTTTTTTTTTCTTTGTTTAGTTTATGCAAATGAGCCATGCACTTTTAAGTTTCGTTTCTGTGACACTTGTGCAAATCTGCATTAAACACATGATAATGTCAAACGGGCTGATGTGGCTCTAGAGTCGTTACGGTTTATATGTTGTAAAGTTGAATTTATTTATGCAGATTAGTAGTGCAGATAGTAATAATAATGATGATAATTTTTTATATAAAAAACGTTAATGATTAATCGATAATCAATCGTTAATTCTCCCGATGATCGATTAAGAAAATTTAATCGAATGCCCATCCCTAGTACATTTGTCCTGACCTGGCAGTTCAGATTGAAGTCGCATGTCCAAAAATCACATATGTATCATTCCCACATAAGTACACGTACATATCCTTTTTATTTATTTTTTGTTACTGTTGTTGATTTAGTTTTACCTTGCTCAAAAAAATAAAATGAATGAATGAATGAAAAAATCGGATATGCATCGGTTTTCAGGAGCACATATCCGAGTGGCCTGGGTCGCATTTGAAAAAATCGGATCTGTGTCGTTCAGACTGTCATTAAAAGATCAGATACAGGAGCATAGGGGCAAAAAAAAATAAAAAAATGGTGCAGGTATTCCAGGTTTCCAGGTATTTGAACAAAATGTTTCTTATCCCAGTGCAGATATTGACACTTTGCAGCTGATGTCATTCAACATTCATTCTAACTGTAGGCATGCTCTGTCTGAGGCTTGGTTAGACTTTTATTTCAGCTTTAATCTAACACAATCCGTCCATAAAAAAACAGATTTAGCTGAACTACAACAGTGTGAGCTCATTTGTGCTGTTAAACAATGCTGTGCTCGTAATGATCACAGGCTCCTGAAATGTTGGTGATTAAATCCATTTTGTAAATTTTCTTGAGTTTTCATACCAATTTTTTAACTTTTTTTTTTTAGCTGCAGTTATAGCTACTGTGTGCATTGAGTCGCTATGGAAACTCCTGAACATATAGCATATCCATACATGTAGAATACCACCAGCATGATGTCACTGAGATGAGACGTGTCACTCTCAATGTTGTATAAGCAGCTCTTCAAAAATAAGTCTGCTGTGTACTGTTCTGCATCTATTTCTTTTCTTGGCAGATAATCAGGAAGTGTGGGGTTAGCATGCTAGTTGTTGTCAGCATTACAATGAGAGCAAAACTCCATCCTGGCCTCTGAATGCATAAGGTAAGTGAAGAACAGCTCTGGACCTCTGCAAAATGCGTAAAATGAACCAGTTCTGTATTTCAGTACAAATCTGGCACAGCACCTTTTAGTGTTTAGTGTTTTTAATTTTATTCATGCAGTATGTAACTTTTTTTGAGTGGAGTGTCCAGTCATGCTTGTTTACATTTGCCTAGAATGTTCCACAGTATGGCATTAAAGGTCCCATATCACACAACATGGACTCTTGTGATCTAAGTCTAAGTCCTGTTATAATGTTGTTACTTCCTCAAAAACAGACCTGGAGTTGTGTTTTGTTTCATTCACACATGTTTGAGTTACTCTTTATTATTAGTCTGTCTACATCTCCAAAGCTCAAAATGCTCTGTTCCACCTTGTGATGTCATGAAGCGTGGTAGTTTTCAAGTTAACAATCACCTTTTTTACCTTTAGCTCAGTAGAGATTGGCAGTTCCAGTACTGAAACCATCCAAATGATTCTAGTGAAGGTGTGTGGAGTTTAAAAACACAGTGGAGCACTTCCTATTTTACGTTTGAGAGAAGAACACAATTTAATGGAGGATTTGTGCATTAAATATATGCAAATGAAACAAAACACAACTTCAGATCTGTTTGTGGTGAGGAAACAACATTATACGAATTAGTGAACGAAATCAAATAAAATGTACTCAAAATAAGAATAATACTGGTCTAAAGTATGCAAATAAACCTGAAAATCCTTTTAGTTAATATCACACGTTATGATGAAAGTTAAACCTGTACTTAATATGCAAGCTTTGAAGTTACACACAATAGCACTTTGACTATTTGTGGTGTTATTTCAGAGGATTACGCTGTCAGACGTGTGAAGGGCTTATGGCATTAAAACAAGCCCTGTGAATAATACTATACACAAAAACAGATTAGTGTGTTTGGAGCCTGTCACTCCATTTCACCACAGCTAGAAGACTTCACATCTGAAGTACGATGTGTGTTGCAAATAAGGGAATCAGTTTACATGCTTTAATTGTAATGTAGGCACACTGCGGTTTATGTGTTTTCTGCAGCCTTCAATTCCGCTGGTTGAAATAGTCAGGACGGATCCGGAGCTAGTCTTGTTGCAATTACTTTGGCTGGAGGATCTGGCCTATTATGCATGTTTTGGGTAAGTAAGTAAGTAAGTTTTTATTTCTATAGCTCTTTTCACAGATATGTCACAAAAACACTTCCCAGAGCATTATTCATTTAATTTCATTCCACACCCGGTGAAGGTAAGCTACTGTTGTCGTCACAGCTGCCCTGGGGCTGACAGACTGAAGTGCGGCTACCAATCGCACCACCACCAACACTCACGCACACACCACTTTCATACTAGGCAATGTGGGTGTCTTGCCTAAGGACACAACAGCAATTTTTGCAACCGGCTCCCCCCTGTGGCACCAGATTTTCCCAGCGCTCTCCCATCCGAGTACTAACCAGGCGGGATCAGGCTTTGACAGGCCTGTATGGTCAGTCAATGGGGCCTTGTTGCTGTGAGGTGAAGGTGTTATCCACTGTGTTGCCAATATATAATACAAAAAGTGTGGTGATTGCGGTTTTAATAATTTAGCTATGACTTGAATGTCATTAGTCCGTTGATAACAGAGTGGTTGGCTGCTTTTGTGGCTGCCTGGCTCATACACTGAGCAGTTTGTTATTTCAGCTCGAGTTATTTGAGTTTTTAACATCGTATCATGGGATTTTAACTAACTAAGAAATGCAGCATGTGCAGTACAAAAGACACAAGTAAGAGACTGTTGGATTTTGTGATTTTTGTGTTCATGGAGACTGTCCAAAAGGCTGGCTATGGAGCTAACTATGGACACCCAGCTGCTTTTTTTTTTTTTCTTTTTAAACCACATGTGGCAGCAAATGTAGGCAGCAAACTACTAAACCCTCCCTTCCAGAGGAAATACCTCAAAGCAATGGTCCATTTCATCACCAACTGAAACACAACAATGTGGGGTAAGAGTAAAGCTTTTCCTGTTGTGTTCAGGAAGTCTGAGTAGTTTTGTCTTGATGGATTTGAAGATTTCATTTCACTCCAGTAGTAACGCAGGTAAAGTCTTGCGTAATGACACAAACACAGTATACGTTGTCCATAGTGGTGTTTGACTCTCAAATCAGTCTGTGCTTGTTTGAAATGAGCTCATTCTAACTAAGGTGTTACTTGGTTGAGGGGTGTACTGTATGTGTGTGTGCAGACTGACCCAGGTCTGGTCCAGGCTGTAGGGCTGCTCCTCCTCCTGTTTGGCCTGCTGGAACTCCTGCCTCAGTCGCTGTATCCGCTCGTGGTTACTGGGCGTCATCTGGGCACTGCAGAAAACACAAACACAGTAGGTTTAGCTTATCTACGTCATGTAAATATCACTGTAGGAATCCTCACATCATTGTAAAGTCAGTATTCATATAACATGTAATGTTTTAGATACGTCTGAAGGTGAACTATGTAACTTTCCAGGTAGAGGGCCTGCATACTTGTCTCTACTCCATGTTATTGCTTTGCCTGGAATGCCATAAAATTAAATATCGTACATGAAGTAAATTACAAGTATTTTTATTGCTCAAAAACGCTTTCAAAACATTCATTCTCATTGACAGTGTATTTGCCTCTCCACAGATCTGACCTGTAACTTGACCTGGCAGCGTCTGTTGCTTGTTTCTTTGTAAATGCCTATGTTTAACACCGTGCTACAGAAAATTCCAGGCAAAGCAAAGACATCTCCATGGTTATGAAGTTTAAATTAACCTCGGTGTATGAAATTGCACACGATTACACAAACGATGACTAAAAATGTGTAATGTTCAGTCTAACTACACAACCACACACTTTTACAACACATTTCTTAGCGTGCTCTAAAGCCAACACGGTCTGCTCTCCAGTTATTACAAGTAAATATATCACAAATGTCAAAAAATGTTAAAATAATCTGATTTTATAGGCACAAATGAGGCTAATCTAATCAGCTATCCCCGGGTTTCAGAACTGTTGCCATAGCAATTAAGAACTTTTTCACAGAACATCCAGAACAAAATTTGCATAAAATGGTAATGCTCTGTTTTTTCTTTAAATAAAATGACATGTCTTGGTCATTAGTCACCCTTATCTCCATAAATATTCAACCAAATGAGCAATCCTCGAACTGTTCTAACGTTTACTACCCGTCCCACCCCTCCTCCTCTTCCTCTTCTTCCTCCTCCACCTTCCATCTCAAAGCGTCTCAGTGCATCATTGGCTGTTTCTGGTGGGTCCTTTTCTCCCGCATTAAACACACAGAAAAGCCTCATTGCGAGCTCCTTCATTAACGCCTTTGAGGAGGTTGTCAATAGGAATCAATGGACTCCCTTCAGCTCAATCAGCCCGGGCTTTTAACAGGCACTACACAGACAGTCAGGACCAGACAATGGGCCAATAAGAGACTGAGGGAGAGAAGGACGGATAGAGGGATGGATGGATACCGCTGAAAGATAAAAATGGGCTCAGGTTGGGTTTTGAACCGGCAACCCCTTGGTGTCTACACTACTACTGAACGCAAATACTATAAACGTGGATTGTGCAACTTTTTGGGTGGACGGTTTGTTGGCTGCTCGTCTCCATGGAGATGTTATCGCTTTGTCTAGAATGTTCCGCGGTATAGATTAAGTAAGACAACCAGAAGCTACATTACAGGTCAGATCTGTGGAGAGGCAACCCTATTCACAGAGAGAATTGTTGTATTTTTGAGCAACAAAAACACCCGTAATGCATAGAGGCTAGCAGAGGCGGTGCTATCCATTAGGGAAACATAGGCAACTGCTTAGGGCCCCTGAACCTGGAGGGGCCCCCAAACAATTCCCCTCAGTACCACTAATGGCTGAAGCCTTAGAGCAATTTGATTTTCTCTCAATATGACAATAAATGAAAGTGGTTTTACTTTAAAAAAAAAAAAAAAAGGTAAAATTCCATCAAAATATCAAATTTATTTTAACTGTCAAAGCATTCACCCCTTTCTGGTTAGAATGGACCAGTCAGCTCGACCCTAAAATAGACACATCAAGAATCTCGGACTTCGCACAATGCATACTGGGAAGGATTTTCCGAAAAAGTGAGCATCAAACCTCCATGTTTGTTTCCCCAGTGGGATGCGTCTATTGACAAAGTGGATCTTTTCAAATCTTTTGAACCATATCGCTTTTGTTTCTGGTTTTGATATTGTCATATTTTAGTTTTGGGATTCGGACATTGTAATGTGTGGTTGTGTGGCCATCTGAAAATGGCTCGAGAAATTTGTTTGCAAACTTCCATAAATGCAAAAGGGAATCAGATCTGTGTGACTGCAAACCTGTTTCCCTTCCCAGCGGAATTGAAAAATGGTGAAAGGCGAAGGTGATGGGGCAGGATTGATCCATGGGAAGGACAAAAAAGATAACCTTTGACTGCCTAAATCATCCCGAGTTTGCAGCGAACATTTTGAATGTAGAACGCCATCAAAGCAAAATCCCGATCCCTCGCTCAATCTTGGTTATGGATTTAAAAAGTCAACGCCAAAGCAAAAGGCATCAGCTGTTCAAGAAACAACTTCAACTGCAAAGCGACCAAGATGTAATGTTGCTGTAAAATCAACAAGAAAGTGAGAGCTCAGTCTGCTTGTCTTCTGTACCTCTCATTTACCAAATGATATGTATCGTATCGTGGTCTATGTATCGAGGTATGTATTGTATCAGCAACGTCTTAATGAGGCCAAGTTACAGGTCAGATTTGTGTAAATCTGTTCAAAGTAAGAAAATGTATGTGTTTTTAAATGTATTTTGAAGCAATATTATATACTGAATAAATGCATGTTAGATAGGTTTAAAGGCGCACTGTGTGGTTTTACAGCTCAAAAATATCTAGAAAGACAGACATTCTGACTGAGTGGGGCCGCCTCTCCACAGATCTGACCTGCAACTTGGTCTGTGTTGGTCTCCATGAAGATAGAAAGTTAAAATATGCAAAAACGATCATCTTCACCGTGACATGAAAACCCAAAAAGTTACTAAGTGTTCATTCAATAACATCCCAACTTGCTCATTTGTCTTTGTAGAAAACGCTTACACCACAAATACAGAAATTATCTTTGTAAATCTGTAAACAGGAGTGGCGTGATTTGATCGGAGATTTAACGTCAGCTTAGAGTTATTAAAATATAGAACTTTTTCCATTAGAACGAGTCAGAAACAGAATTAGCTGCTGCGTAATCAAGTCGTAGCCACACAAACTGCTGACTCAGCCCCATATGGAATGACAAATGAGACAAACAGATAATGTAAAACTATTCCAAAGCTTTCGGGGGTGTCTCTCAAATCACTTTTTACAGTGCAGGATGAGCAGAAAAATAGAAATAAATAACGTGTTTTGAATAGATTTACATATGACAGGGTTGTGGCAGGGTAGTTAGCTCGGCAGGTGAGACAGGTGTAGTGCAAATATGATAGTACGTCAACAATACTGTATGAAAATGAAACTATATTAAGATTACAAAATATATTCAGCCAAATAATAATAAATAACGGTGTAGTCATTACAATTAAATATGCGGTGTGTAGTGGTACAGGAGAGGATAAATATTACTGTGAGACATAGAGTAAGAGAAATAATATTAATGCATATTTATGGATGTTAAAAGTGACTGAGGTAGTAGAAGTAGTAGTACTGGTGGTGGAAGAAGAAGTAGTAGTAGTAGTAGTAGTAGTAATAGTAATAGTAATAGTAATAATAGTAGACGTAGTGGTAGTACTAAAAGTAGAAGTATTGATAGTACTAGAAGTAGGAGTAGTAGTAGTGGTAGTACTAAAAGTAGAAGTATTGATAGTACTAGAAGTAGGAGTAGTAGTAGTGGTAGTACTAAAAGTAGTAGAAGTAGAAGTAGTAGAAGTAGTACCAATTGTTAGACAGGCCACAATGCTGACTGTATTAATATTAGTAAGATTACCATGTTGCATGAGAGTAGTAGTAGTAGTAGTAGTAGTAGTAGTAGTAGTAGTAGTAGTAGTAGTAGTAGTAGTAATAGTAGTAATACCTATTGTTAAACTGGTCACAATGCTTGTTATATTAGAATGAGTAAGATTACCGTGTCGCATGAGATTAATAGTAGTATTAATAGAAGTAGTAGTGGGAGTAGGAGTAAAAGAAGTAGTAGTAGTAGTAGTAGTAGTAATAACTATTGTTAAACAGGCCACAATGCTTGCTATATTAGTATTAGTAAGATTACCATGTTGCATCCGATTAATAGTAGTAGCAGTAGTAACAGTAGTAGTAGTAACAGTAGTAGTAGTACAGTAGTAGTAACAGTAGTAGTAGTAGTAGTAGTATAGCAACACAGCATAGGTTGACATCAACACCAATTATAGTAAAGCACTAGTAGCAGCAGTAGCAGGAGCTCTGGTAGTATGATAGCACTCATAGCAGTAGAAGTAGGGCTTAGTAGTTGCAGTAGTAGTAGTAGTAGTATTAGTAGTGGTAATGGTAGTAGCAGCAGTATTAGTAGCAGTGTTGGTAGTATTATAGTGCTAGTAGTAAAAGAAGTAAGGCCTAGTAGTAAAAAAAGTAGTGGTAGTGGTGACAGTAATAGTCATTCTGATAGTAGTAGTAATAGTAGAATGCAATAATGTGATTATAGTATTAGTAGTAGGATTAGCGAGTAGTAGCAGTAGCAGCACATTTAACATTACTTTGAACTAACCATTTAACAAACCAGGCCACAACCCCGGCTATAAACAAGTCTACTTCTTCTGCAGCCTCTCCCTGACCCAGCGGCCCTCTCCTCTCACCACCGCCAGCTTTCATTTAACAAAGAAATGGCTTCAGATCTGTGCCAAGTGCCCAACCGGAGCGAACGAGGAAGGGAAAAAAAAAAAAGAAAGAAAGAAAGAGAGAGAGATCAGAGAAGACAAGATTTCCGGCAAATTGGACAACTCGCGGCAAGCTTCTTTAATATCTCGTTCAAAGCGCCGCCGCAAATGGAAATGGTTGAAATTGAGTCCAAGCTCGGGTTAAGGGGGGGGGGGGGGGGGGGAAGGGGGGGGGGGGAGGGGGGGGGGGGGGAGGGGGGGGGGGGGGGGGGGGGGGGAGGGGGGGGGGGTGGGTGGGTGGGGTGGGGGGGGTCTGATATGTGGGGAGTGCGGTGGCGGGGGGTAGGGGTGGGGGTAATTTGTCATGGAAGTTCAAAGGAGGCAAGCGCAGTATCTAGATTATCTGGAGGGTGAAGAGTGTGGGGGGGGAATGTGGGCCAGTACCCCCCCCCCCTCCAAACCCAATATAGGGGAATGAGAAGATGGCTCGCTTAGAAGATGTGATA